GAAGTTTCCTTATTTTCCAACTTAGTGATTATTTTTTGGGTAATATCTTCGTTTCTTGTTCTCATTTAGTCCATTTTTTCTTTTGTCAGACCTACTTCATTCAGCATGTTTAACCGCAACTTAGCCCATTTTCCTTGCTGTCCTATTCCGCCTTCTCTCTCTCTTTCTTTTAGACATTCTATTACTGGTATTTTGTTTGATGATCTGATGTTTTCTTCGTGTTGCACTGCTCTTTCTACAGCTTTTATCATCATGCTTTCTAATTTGCTTTTTTCTATTACTATGTAATTTGGTGTCGTCACATCCAGTCCTAAAATCCATTTAAAGTATTTTCGTGTTATGCTGTCCATCCTTTCATCTCTTTTCCATCCCCATATTTCTGCTCCAAATAGTGCTATGCTTTCTACCAGTGCTTTAAACATCTTCACTCTTCTGCTGTAGTTTTCTTTAAAAATTCTTTCTCCGATACTCCATGTGCTTTTCATTGCTATTATTGCTTTTCTTTTTCTATCCGTTAAATGTTTTTCAAAACCTCCATTTTTTTGTAGAATGTATCCTAAATATTTTATTTCTTTAACTTCTTCTAATTCTTTGTCGCCCCAGTACCATTTCCTATCTTTCTTTTTATTTCCTTCATCAAATACTAAAATTTTGGTTTTTTCTGAGCTTAGTAGCATTTTTTTAATTTCTAAATATTTTTTAAATCTTTTCAACATATACTCCATGTCTTCTTGATTTTCTGCCAGTAATACTATATCATCTACATATTTTAGCGTCCAAATTTTTATTTTTCCGATTACTACACCTCCTCTTATCCCTTTTTTCATATATTCTTCTAAATCTAACAAATATATATTAAATAGCGTGGAACTTACAGGGCACCCTTGTCTCACTCCTCTGGTTGTCCAGAATTCTATGGATATTTTGTTTCCTACTTTCACAACATTGTTTGTTTCTTCATATATATTCCTATGATCCTGTTTCTTAGTTTTACACTTACTGTTTTTTCTTTTAAACATTCTGTTAGTATTTTCCTGTCTACTCTGTCAAAAGCTTCTTTCAAATCTGCGAAACATCCAATCACTTTCATTTTGTTTTGTCCTAATCTTTGGTCTATTATGTGGTTGAGTACATATACGGCATCCATGACCCCTCTTCCTCTTCTAAATCCGAATTGCCCTTCTTCTAACTTACACTCTACTTCGTTTATCAGTCGCTCGTTTAGTATGCTTGCATATATTTTATACGCTGTGCTCGTTAATGTGACTCCTCTGTAGTTTTTAACGTTTCTTGGGTCTTCTTTTTTGTGTATTGGGCTAATAACACCTTTTCTCCACTCTTCTGGTATATCTCCATCTTTCCATACCTTATTCATCATTTTTAATAAGACGACTCCTATAGATTGTGGCATGTTCTTCCATATTTCGTTTTCTAGTGTATCCTCACCTGGTGCTTTTTTATTTTTTAATTTTTTGATTCGCGCTATTAATTCTCGTTCTGTTATTCTGTCGTCACTATTTCCTTCATCCCCTTCACTTTCCTTTTCTCCGCATTCAACCTTTGTTTTTTTTTCTACACCTTCTAGTTTTTCCATGAAGTGCTTCTTCCACGTATCTATTTCAATATTTTCGTCAATCTTTTCTCTTTTCTTCCTAAATTTATTTATAAATTTCCATGATTCATTTTCTGTTTTGATATTTTTTATTTTTTTCTTCCTCCTCTCTATCATGTTCTTAGCGTCTTTCTTGATACCATTCTCTGTACACTTTTTTAGCCTTTATGTATTCATTTCTAGTGCATTGTCCTTTTTTCCATTTTCTTATTATTTGTCTTAATTTTCTTTTTCTTGATTTCCATTCGTTGTCGTGCCACGTTTTTTCTCCGAGTTCCCATATCTTCTTTTTTCTACTTACAGTAGGGACTGCTTCTGTGATTTTGTTTTTCAATTCTTTCCATATTTCTTCAATATTTTCCTCTTTGCATTCCCAATCTTCACATTTCTCATGATAAATTTCTATTCCTTCCTCTGTCCAATTTTTTCTGTGATAGTATTCTTCTGCCTCTTTATCTTCTATTTTTTTATTCATATTTTCAGCGTTTATCTTTATCTCCATTGGTAAGTGATCCGAGTCTGTCCTATCATCTACGTTTATGTGCTTAATTTCACCTATCGTCCTTTGGTTACTTATTATATAGTCGATGACTGATGCTCCATTTTTTCCAACATACGTATACTCTCCGTTATCTCCAAAGTTCCCATTTAAAATTGACCATCCTTCTTTTCCTATTTCGCTTATTAATCTCCTTCCTTCTACGTTTGTCACTGAGTCTTTTGTTTTTCGTTTAATGTTGCTTTTAGTTTTACATTCTATTATTCCTCCTTCTTCACCTGTTCTTGCGTTCCAGTCTCCTAGTATAATTAAATAATCTTCTTCTTTTTCTTCATAATTTTCTTTAATCACTTGTATTGTTTCTTTATGACTCACATGTCTCATGACTACGTTACTGCTCCTCTCACTATACACCATTTCTTTTATTTCACTTCTCACTCCAGATACGATTCCCCCCATCGCCCTCCCTTTCTTCTTTTTTCTTGTGGCATAATTACATTTCCATTCAAAATTTGTAGGAAGTCTTCTTTTAATTTTTTCCCATGTTTTCTTTTCTATCCAGGTTTCTACTAAACACACTATGTCAAAATTGCTTAAATATTTCCACGTTTCATTATCTTTATTTGTTATCCCTGCTATATTCCAGTAACATATCTTGAGTCTTGCTTCGTCTTGCTCCAGTCCTACCTCCGAGTCCTATTCTCGTTCCTTCGTTTCTATTGCTTTTAGTGTCTCGCTCCATTCATCCCACTTGAACCATTTCTCGTTTATTTTCATTTTCAAATAACCTACCTTGACAGTATTACCTTTATTTCTTTCCTGTTTCGCCGTTGTTCTCAAATGTCGCTGTATTTTTCTCTCTTTCTCTGTCAAGTCATCATTAATATAAATTCCTCTTTTAAGGTTAGCTTTGTTCATCATAACTTGCTTTTTCATCTGCCAGTTTTCTAGCTTGGCTATAGTCATTTTGTATCTCTTTTCCCTATTGTTGTTATTCATTGTAAATGCTTTTTCCACTTTTACATCTGTGTTAATACTGTCCTTTAAATATTCCTCGACTTTTTCTTTTATCTTTTCTTCTGTAAACTCTTCTCCCTTTATAACAATATTTAGTTTTCTTTTTTCTCTCTCACCCTTTTCCCTGTCCCACTCAAGTTTCATCACTCTGTCTAGCAAGTTTTCTCTCTCGTTTTTCCAATTCTGCCTTTCTTGCTCCCACTCTTCTTCTTTTGCTTTCCACTGTCTTTCTAACTCATCTTTAATATTTTTTACATGTTTTTCAAACTTCTGTTGTATGTTCTCTTCCATTCGTGTCATTTTTTCATCAAACTTTGTTCCGAGTTCTTTGATCGCACTGAGCATTTTCTTTTCTAGATCTGCGTCTGTTTTCGGAGGCATTATAAAGCTATCGATTGTTCTATTATTTATCAAGCCCTTGTTTCTCGTGATTATTGTTCTTTTGTCGGAATCACTGCTCATTACCTATCTGTTCCGAGTGTATTTCATGTATTGTTTTGTCCGACCTAACCTCAAATGTTTTCGTTCGTCGTAATCACACTTATTACTTTTGTATCCTTGAATATTCAGACTATCTTTCTATTTTGTTCAATAGGGTTTACTTTTAGTTTTACTATTTGCTCGTTTTCACTATTTCTATTAATGTTTAACTTTAATTGTTTAATAAAAATCACTCGCGTTTTTTCGCCACGTGCGTTTGTGCTCGTCGCTCAACCGGAAGTCAACCAATTAGTGTTTCGTCGCTTGCCGCCTAAAACTAGGCTAAGTAGGGATAGTCTGCGAGAGCGCAGTCGCTGCCCGCGCAGGACTAGTGCGTGGCGTCACTCAATGTCAGCCACTAATAGAGGTTAGTCGACCGAAGGAATTAGCTCGCGCTGTCGATCATCTTGGTGATTATTTTTTCCCTGCGAAGAAGAGTTTCGGCTGCCTTCCACCCTGTGCTGCCCCACGCCCTGGCCTTTTGTCAAAACGCGCACAAGACAATGGGCCTGCCCTGCAGTTGCCATCTTTGCCTCCCAAGGATCATCAAGGAGAAAATAAAGATCAGGTTATCTCTCTCTTCCGGTTGTTCTCTCTCTCGCAGTGATGTGCGGCCGCGCGAATTATTAATTTGTTTAATTCTTCTCCGTTAATTATTTGTATTGCGTTGTATTTAGTTGTAAGTGCGCAGTAGCCAGGCAATCACTCGCCGGCTACTTTACAAGTTACTTTGTGTTAGAATAAGTCGCGTTTGTTATTCGGTTAAGGTACATAATGTTGTAAACATACGATTAGAGTGTTTAGATTTTTGATTAGTTTAACCGCGCGTTTATTTTGAATTATAAAGTAATAAAAGGTTTTGTCATTTAGTATTAATAAAAATTGGTTTATTTTCTCGCCTACTCTTCCGATTGCATTTAGAGCGAAAGCACCTTTCTTACCTTACCCTTTAAAAATAGGTAACAGCGCGTCAAAACTGTTGCATACTTAACATTAATCAATCATATCTCGATGATAACAAAATATCTCTAATCCACAAAATTGCATTTAAATGGCAAAAATTTTGATTTATGATGATTTTACTGGTTTCGTGAAAAAAATGTATTCATAGTATTACATATCAATTTTCGAACATAGCAATGAATCGTATAGTTTTAGATTAGGATATCTCGAAAATCTTAGGTGATGGATTAATTCTGAAGCAAGATTCACATTCAGAGCATCGAATACCTTTGGAAATATACCATCGCGTTTCTGGATTTGTTTTTCAATGTTGGCCTATGTAATCTGTGCTTTATGAAAATACCTAAATTATGAATTAATTTAAAATACAATACCATATCTCAATCTTAAAAATATTATTTTACCATTTTACAGACTAAAAAAACTTACGCTTTGAGATTCATCTATTTGCTCCTTGACATGAGGTGTTTTTTCTATATTTCTTTTTACTCTTTTTTCTTCAATGGTTCTGATTGTTATATTAGTAAACATGTCTTTATTAATTACATTATTTCGGTGAAAAAACTTGTCGGTTTCATTAACTTTTATTGGAATCTGAATAATTCTCATTGTTTCGTTGCTATTAGTAGCAACTACTTGATCAGTATCAGCTTCAATATTTTTGCCAATATTACGAGGATCAATTGCTAAATAATTATCATCCTTACGTCCTGCTTGATCAAGAGTTGCACATCGATTATATTGAACGCAAACACAATCAACAAAGTCCGTTGTTAATAATCTATCATTACTTTGTGTAAACTTATTATTTGTTATAAAATGATTACTAGAGCTGAATCCAATATTTGTTTCAAATTGATTACTAGGTCTATAATTATTCTGACCAAAATTATTAATTCTGAAGCTACTATATGGTCCTAAATTTAGTTGTTGAGTAGTCTTTAAGCCTTTCTCATTGTGAGATTCACTAAAATCTGAATCTCTTATAGGTTTTTCGTACGAAATATATCGATTAGCATAGTTATTACTGGAAGATATGCTAGATGTATCGGGTACATTATTTTCTAAAGAAGTTTGGATTTTATAATTTTTTTTGTATTCAAAATCACTTAATGGATTTCCACCATTTCCATAACCATAATTATGAAAAGCATTGTTAACAATAGGTCTAGATCCAATTACAGGCTTTGCATTAATGCTACCTTCGTTGTGATGGTAATGATGATGAACATGCTGTTGAACGTTTGTACTATCTGGTTTCTCCTCAGAAAACTTATCATCATAACTTATGCCGCTTTGAAATCCAGATTCATAAACTGGTTTAAAAGAATGACTTGTGCTAGGCAATTTATTACCAGGATGAGGTCTTAAGAAACTTGTTGGAACTTCATCATTAAATGGCGGATTATTAAGATAACTAGAACTTAATAATGGAGGAAAGGATCCCGAATAAATTTTTCCAGATTCGATATCAAGAGTTTCAGTACTATGAACATCAACAGATTTTTTAACTGGAATAGCTGGCAAAGGCCTTCCAACTGGTTTAATCGTAACTGGTTGTGCATATATTACATCTTGTGGATGTATATCACGATGTGAAGAATAAAATGGATGCCTTTCTTCTAATTCAGCGCACTGAAAATACATTGTTAAAATATCTACATTTATAAATTATTTAAAAGCAACAATTACGATAACTCACATTCATCAAACCTAAAAGACAAAGTTTATTGCGTATATATGATCGAGCAAGCGTATCATTTCCAAATTGTAAAGCATTTTTCACTTCAGGATCAGCATACACTTCATCGTAACCTTCAAGATTCCGTCCTTGGCGATTAGATACAAGTATTTTATCAATTATAGTTTGAGCCTGGAAACGATATTAAAATTTAATTACATATATATGTATGTGTGTTTGTGTACGTATATGTATATGTTCGTGTATTTGTATATATGTGGACATATTTTATCTAATATAGTACAAAATTACTGTGGTCTGGTATTGATTATATTATCAACGTACGTTTTGAAGAGAAATATCTCACGTGTAATTATAAAAGTAACCGGAATCTTTATTTATTATTGATAACACATTTAAAATAAAATTATCAATTCATGGTCTAGATTACTATTCATGATAAAATGATTATTTTCAGATTATTAAGAGAAAAAAGATATCATTAACTTTTACAAACGAAGATGCGATAATTAACCATTTACTAACCTATTGTATTAAGGAAAGTCTTTTTGGAGTATATAAATAATTTAGTTTTTGGAGCATTTAAATAATTAAAATGTATAATCCTTACTGATGGTGATTCAAAAAGCTGAGTTTTATGATGAAATTCTGCTCCATTTAAATATTCCAATTGATCAATAGGTTTAATAGTTGAAAAATCAAAATTAGTAGTTTGCGAAGAACGTTGATCTATATGCTTTGAAAAAGATATTTGAAGTGCAACAATGCAAACCGTTATGTATGTTGAAATTATTCTTTCCAGCCACATCTTTTCTGTAAGATAAAAGTAAGTTGTCATTTTCATAATCTTATTATTATTCATTTACATTTATTATATTATGCCATTAAATATTTAAATGGTTTCTTATATTGCATAAAACAGTATTGATGTATTGCTAGATAAACAGATAATTTATAAGCCGTGACAAGCAAAAAAATATATATTTCTTTATATCTTGGGCAAAAATAGGTAATTTTACTGTGCACTTAAAGAAGTTCAATGGTTGAACTGCATAATCTGATGGAAAAGCATGAAAGTTGTTAGCACTTTCTATCTCATTTGAGGCTATGACTGATCAATGAGGGTAACACGCAAAGAAAATAGCTTGTGATGTCTTGTTAACAAATTCGTTGACCTTTTCAGATAAAAATATCAATACGATAATACTGTAGAACAACCGAAATTAATCGACTACATAGTACATACTATGTATGTATACAGTTATGTATATAGTTATGTATACTATGTATACAGTTATCTGATTGTACTTTCGGGCTGTTAGGAGTATTTTTACCTACAGATGTCAATGAATTTGTTAACGAAACGTTATTAGTTGTTTTCTTTCAATATCCTTCCACTGATAAAGCATAGTTTCAACTAAAATAAAACTATGGCAAACCAGCACAATGATTAAAGCTAATCCAGATTTTCATTTTTTGTATACAAGCTCTTATAAAGAGCGACTTAAAAATAACGATTTAACAAATATTAACAAATAATACATTACGATGTTGAATTTAATTATATTAATTAAAATGTTAGATTCTAAAATAAACCGTTATTATTAACCCGATCTATCCGTATGTCTATTGTTTGTCTAGTTCTCTTGAAATTACTTAATCCAAGAAAGTGTACTCCGGTATACCTTATTCGGTACCAATAACAGGTATCAACATCACAGTTGATGGACGATATCCGTTATCGCTTAAATAATTTAAAAGCAATATATGATTTATGATTGTTACACAGTCTATAAATCTACAGACAGTAAAAGAAATATACCAATGAGATAATAACGACTTTTTTTTTAAGATCAGAGGATCATCTCTTGAATAGTACATTTTTTCATGAATTTCGTTGTATTATCACACAATATCTATTATTATTTAAAATCACCGCCGTGTCGTACTAATACCTTGGTTTCTGTTAAATAAATGAATTATTTGGATTATTGGGTTGATAGTAGCTTTTTGAAAATACCTAATTCATAGTAGAATATGTCTTCTTTCTATTTGTAAAATTTTGTTATGAATTGCAAGATTCGAACGTTATGAACCATATTTTCGTTCCTCTAATTTTCTATGTCAATGTAATTACTAATCCGAAAGATACTTAAAAATACTTTTTATTTCTGATCGTATAGTTGGAGAATTTTCTTGTTGGAGATAAAAGTTGGTTATGTCTATTTTGTTTGAGAAAAATTGCGTCCAACGAATAAAAATTTCAAGAAATATCTTTATTGTAACAATAAATTGTTAAATATTGAGCTTATGAAACGACATATTTTTAATAAATTCACTTAATTAATTTTGATTTATCTCGAACTGCTTCAGACACTGGTCATTTTTATTTAAGGTTCTTTCATAAAATACGTATTATTCTTTTTAAATTTAGCTAATGTACAATGTGTTTGACTATGCTAGAAAGTGAATGGTTTTATTGCTGTTCTCAAGTATGTATATGCGTGCTGTATATTTGGTATGTACATGTTTATAATGAATGCGACATCACAGCTCACACCGAAACGAGGTTATCGTTCGGTGTCCGCTGTCTCGAACACACGGGTGTACTCTTGTTCTGTATGTAATAAAGTTTAACTTCTATAATATTACTGAAAATCATTGGGTATGGTTTATTTCGTTTTTCCTGCCCACGGCCTACTATACATAGCACCAAGAACGAGAGAGAAAGATTGATTGATTGATTGATACTTCCTTATTCGCCATAGAGAGAGAGAGAGAGAGAGAGAGAAAGAGAGAGAGAGAGAGAGATAGAAATCGCGTCTTAGCTATCATTTCGATAGACATTGGCTAATACACGAGTTCAGTGAAGTCAAATCAATGCATCATGTGATTTATAATTATTCGAACAGTGACAGTAAAAAATGATCAAGAATCTACGGGGAACAATACGACTAGTTATATGGGTTGATAGTCTGGTTGCGAGTGGTTCTGGAGCGTTACTTGCATTCAAAACTAGACTTTTGAATATACCTGCCATATCCGTGATCCTTATATTATACAGGGCGTCCTATTTTAAAGGAACCACCCCGAAATTTTCTACGGTTGGCGTTCAACAAAAAAATTGTTCAGACAAGAGTTATTTGGGACAATGAGGGACACCATTCCCAGAAATCGGATTTAACCTTGAGATTTATTTTCAAGGTCAAAGTCATTTTTTGAATAGGAACCTATAATTTTGATTCCAGATTCGGAAAGAGCGAGAAATTCTACATTCAGATAAGGTATTATATGTGGGATGCAGTTAACCCCCCCCCCCGCGTAAGGTCATGTAGGGGTCAAATTTATTATTTTCTTCATCTATGCACAGGGATGATCGGGTAAGGGTAAGATTAATTGTAATAACCCAATAACTTGCTGGTAATATCTTGCCCCCCAACCCAATAACCGGACGGTAATATCTTGCTGCAGCACGATATCGGTCTTGACCGTTAAAATTACCCAGGGAGGCTTCGGCACCCAAACCACGTGAGAATCCGAATCATTGAACGAAGAGAGAGACATCGACCACGAATACGCCCCGAGAGATAACAGAATGTCAACAATTACGAAGTTTACACGGTGTCTAAGCTAAAAAATGGAAAATAAGCTATCGTTAATTAAATGAAATAAAATTGTACGTAATCTTCAATAAATCTTGAATAAATCCTTGAATAAAGCCTTGAAAAATGGATAAAAAATGGAAAATAAGCTTCCGTTATTGATAACAAGTTTGCCTAACTTGGCTGGCTACCAAGTCGGTTACTCAAAACACCTTATTTTTTTATTGCGGTTTTGGAAAGAAAGTTAAACTGGTCATTCCTACATTGTCTTAATCCATTAAGGCCCTTGCTAAACCTGGGCAAGATAGCGCCAAAATAACTATGCCAATCGTAGGTAAATCGAAAAAAAATACCCTTGTTTTTTCTTTTGCCATTTACAATTATTTATCAAAAGTTATTTATACAAATTATCGAAAGGTAATCATTTGATGTCTGACAAAAAAACGATACATAATTTTAGAAAATAATTTTCTAAGAAAATCAATTATTTTTATTCTCTTTTCTGGTGTGATTCCGGACAAGCCTACAGAGTTTCAACTAAATCGGAAAATAACACGTCTTTAGTATTATTTATGAAAGAGGTGACTCGTGAACAGTCCTTCTCAGGATAGTTGACGTTGAAATTTCTTAGTGTCTAGCGACTCAAAAGGGCCAAATATGCCAGATTATTCGAGAAGCGAAATTGTTGACATTATGTTATCTTTCGGGGCATGTCAAGGCTGATATCGTACTGCAGCTAGATATTACAGTCAAAATTACCCAGGGAGGCTTCGGTACCCAAACCACGGGAGAATCCGATCATAGAACGATGAGAGAGAAGTCGACCACCAATACGCAGAAATCTCGTTGTTTTGGCAATGGTTCATTTGGATCATCATATCACTTTGCGTGAACTTCAGAGACGTACTGGAATCCCAAGAACAACAGCGGGTAGAATTTTGCGGCGTCATAAATTTCATCCGTATCACATAACTTTGACCCAAGCTTTGATGCCAGATGATCTCCGCCGCAGACTCGAATTCTGTAATTGGGCTCAAGCAAGAATTTGTGAAGATCCTGAATTTTTCAGATACGTAATGTTTTTGGACGAAGCTACATTTCATAGTAATGGGCAACTCAATCGCCATAATAGTCATTATTGGTCTATCCAGAATCCTCATTGGGTACGTCATGTTGATAATCAGCATAGATGGAGCCTCGTAGGTTGGTGCGGTATAATCAATGGTTATCTGATAGGACCTTATTTTTTCGATGGGAATGTCAATGGCGCAGCATATCTTAATTTCCTGTAGAATGAATTACCAGTATTATTGGAAGATGTGGACTTGGAAACAAGACGACGATTATGGTTTCAACAGGACGGTGCATCGTGTCATCGCTTACTAATAGTTCGTCACTTCTTGAACCAACGATACCGAAGACGATGGATAGGCATTGGTAGTGACATTACTGAGTGGTGTCCAAGATCACCAGATCTAACAAGTCCAGATTTCTTTTTATGGGGCTATTTGAAAAGTGTTACTTATGCACAGCAACCAACAACACGGCAAGATATGATGCAACATATCATACAAGCTTGTAGAGCTATTCCGCATCACGTTTCGTTGTGCACAATTGAAAACTTCACAATCTTGTAGCCGGTTCCCCAGGGATCCTCGTTCACCTCCTCGCAGAGCTTCCTCCAGCATCGCGTCTTGCTGTCCCGTATTGCTTTCGTCAGCGTCTTCCGTGCTGTTTTGTATATGGCTTGGAGGTTTTCCCTATCGGGTCCGCCCCCTGCCCTTGTCATTCGTCGCCGATTTGCCAGGCATATCTTGCGTAGCTCGGCTATTTCGTCCGTCCACCAGTATTGTGGCCGTCTTTTTTGTATCTGTCGTCGTTTCGTCATTGTGCTGGTGCACAAGTTGTTTATTAATTTCGCCGTCTCGTCTGTCAGTCTTTCCGTTCTACGCCGGCCCGTTAGCTCAGGAGGAATCTTCGACCCCGGGGCTGATGCCGCCATCAACTCCTCCGAAAATTTTTTCGGTCAAGTTTGTTAAGGTTCCATCGCGGGGGTTGGTGGATTCTCGTTTGTCTCGTTTCTGTCCGTCACGCCACTTCGAAGACGATGTATTGATGGTCGCTGGCTGTATAGTCCTCGACCACCCGCCACCCCCTCAGCCGTGGCAGACTTATTATTATTATTATTATTATTATTATTATTATTATTAT